AACCTCATTCTACAAATGAGGCATCTGGGCTCAGGCAGCCTGGGGCAAACCTCCTGGCCACCCGGGCTAAGCAGCATGGACAATTCAACACAAAGGCTGTACACCTTCCACTGCATCAAGCCACCCTGATCGCTCAGCTACCTACAACAAGGTCACCCTAAGAAGACATGGCTAACGGACTGATTTCAAACCATACATATGTGAGAAAATAAAGGCAAGAGTGTGGCTGGCTTAGTCACAAAAACTAATTGAAATGAAAAGAGCTACTTATGAAAGATGATGTCCTCTTCCTTCCCTGTCACTCTCCAAGCCCAAGCAAGGCCCTGTGCCTGCCATGTTCCACACTGGCCTCCTCCCTAGCCTCAGAGGCCCGTTTCTATCTCCAACACATTCGGGACTGTGGTGTCAAACACTTCCCCATAATGACGATCCCTTACATTAGTGGGAAGCTAAAATTCCTCCACTCAAAAGAAACCCTTCTCTATTTCTATGCCAACTTTGTAATACCATTAGATGCTATCACCTATATAATTTCATACTGTTAATGCACTTAACATGAAAATGTATGTTTTTGGTATTTTTAAAGGCTCATGTACATTTTAATGATTACAAATGGACAAACCACTGATCGCTTCATGATTCTGGTATGGTTTATTTCATGTTGTTTATTTTGGATTGCTTGCAATTACTATAATAAATAATCCTCTGAAAATGCCTTTATATAAGCATCTTTGAATATATTTCAGGTTAATTCTCTGGAGTGGATTTTAAGAAGCAGAAATTAAAAAGAAAGCCATAAATTAAAGACTATGATCACTTTCAGAATTCTATATATAACTGCCATATTACTTTGGAGAAACTCTATATGGATTTTCATGTCCACCATTAGAACTAAAAATTTCTCTTTAAATCTCTGCTCACTGAATACAGCAAGTATGACTATTAAATTTTTATGGCAAGTTTAACTATTTTTTTTTCCAAAGTCTAGTGTTTACCACTTTCTAAACTGCTCACGTCCTTTCCTATTTATCTATTAATCTTAATGTATTTGTCTTAATTAGCTCTTCAGACCTTAAGGATAACCTTGCATTACACCTGATGCAAATAAGACTCCAATTAATTTGTAATCTGGCTTGTATTGTTTGAGGCAAATAATTTATTAAACTCTCATTATGTAGCCTAAAAGATTTATCTTTTCCTTTGTCATTTCATCCACGGATTTAACTTTTAAAAAGTCATGCTGCTCCCCAGCCCCATCTTTGAATGCATTCCCAACCCCACACAGATCACTGGCAAAGAGTGAAACCTAATCGTTAGAGGTGTTTTTTATATTTTTTAAAGAGACAGTCTTGTTCTGTAGCTCAGGCTAGAAGTGCAGTGGTGCAATCATAGCTCACTGCAGCTTCAAACTCCAGGGCTCAAGCAATCCTCCCGCCTCAGCCTCCCGAGTAGCTGGGACTACAGGCACTTGCCACCAGCTAACTTTGGTCTTTGGAGAGACAAGGTCTTCTTAGGCTGCACAGGCTGGTGTCAAACTCCTAGCCTCAAGCAATCCTCACAACTAGGTCTCCCAAAGTGTTGGGATTACAGGTGTGAGCTGTAATATCTGGACTGTTAAAGGTGTGTAAGCACAATCTCTGGTCAGTCTTTGGCTGAATACTAAATTATGCTACCCAAATGTGAATCCTAGAAAGGCAGACTTAAAAATAAAAACAAAACTAAAAACAGACATCGGTGACTATGGGGAGACAAACTACAGAAATGCTGAGTCACGAGCAAGACTCAGCAACAGCACATCCCAGGGGAGGTGGATTTTAAGCATCCAGAACTGCTAAAATAGGGTTAGGGTGTCCAGTTTTCAATTTAAAAATTGTAAGACATGCAAGAAAATGTGACCATGCACGTGCACACACATATGTGCACAATAAAAAGAATCAGTCAATGGAAACTGTCTCTGAGGGGTACATATATTGGACTTAGGAGGTAAAGGTTTCAAAGCACCTGTTATAAATATGTCCAACGAACTAAAGGAAACTATGCTTAAAAATTAGAGGACAATATGAAGACAATGGTTCAAATATTGTCTATTATTTAACTGATTGCACAACAGGAGTCCCAGAGTGAGAAGAGAAAGAAATAGTTACTGAATGGACCATGATAACAGTCATAAATTACTAAGTTTTTTTTTTTTTTTTTTACTTCCCAGTCTCTTTTTGGTGTTCATCTTAACCATTATACAATAGCAGAAGACACATATCCATCCCATTCATACCTGTCTCATTATCTCTTAATTTCAAAATGTTGGTACTTTCATGTGGAATACTATTCTCACTCCATTAAACAGATCCCAAGTTAAAACAAGTCATTCATGTAACTTTAACACCACTAGTCCACACTGGTCTTACCCTTTAGTAAGTTTTCAACTCTCAGTGGGGTTAAAAACACCTAGACCTTACAGTTTTCTGTGAAAACAAAACTACTAAAGGGGCTCTGGAAATGCCTAACACATTATCTATTGTATTTTGTTCTGTGTTGTATTCTGTTCTCCACTTTTATGCACAATTTATAAATATAAAATTAGGGAAGCTGAAATTGATTCCCGGCTTAGTCACTAACCAGTGTATAACCTTGGACAAGGCATTTAACTTCTGTTTTCTTTACTGTAAAATGAGAGTACTACATCAAAAGATGATTCTCTATGAATTCTATGAGTTTATTTCCATAACAACTGTAATTTAACCATGCACTATTTATGAATGCAGCTTTATACAGACAACAATTTAGATGTGATTTTGAGGTCAAGGTGTTTTCCATCGTTCTATATGAAAAAGTTGGCTGATTTGAAGAAATGAGCACTTATAATAACCAGGCTATTCTCTCTGTAAAAGGACAGTTAGAGAAGGAAAATGAAAAAAGTATCGACTATACTTCAATCTGAAAAGTATTACAGAATATATAATGCAAACAAAAACCCACCAGGATTTCTAAAAAAAGCATGGTTGCCTGGTTTCATAAAGTGCCTAATGGAAGCAAGATTCATGGAGAAACTAAAGAATGCCCTTGGCACCAATTTAGACACTGCTAACCATTTTTTCTAACACAATTATTTGGACCTGAACAACAATAGAGGGTAACACCCTATTTGGAACCTCACTGTGGATTGTGGCTGTGTTATTCACTACATGAAGCAGTCGCAAGGAAAGCGATGTCTTATACAAGAATGCAAGAGGAAATTGCAGCACCAGGCATTAAAACTCAAGTTCTCCTACAACCCATAAACCCTATCTGCTGATTTTGTAGCTATGTACACAAAATGACACATAAACTACATTACACACTAAAAAGCAAGTCAGTTAGTAGAGCCACATTCTGGGAGCAAATGCCCAACAGGCCAAGAGATGAAGGTGATGCAGAGCACTAGGAGACGACAGAAAACAGGCATCCCAGGGAACGCGGGCCACACCACAGGCTAAAGGAGTCTGACCTTATGAAAGTCGACGAAGTTGAGATGGAAGGCAGAGCCCAAGCAGCTAAATGAAGACGAATGAAGAAAAGGGAAGAAAGAAGGGAAGCAGAAAAAAGTGTTTCCAAGGCAGAAAAGGGTCTGGAGTTGACCAAATACAAGAAAAAGAAGTCAAAGACTGCTACTGAGGTAAGAGAAATGGCATGATGCATGAAGAGAGACCTGTTCCCAAGAAGATGCAGAAATGTCAAACTCTGAAAAATTAGCAGTAAAAGTGGAGGCAAGAGAAGTGTTCCCGTACCCAAGTGCAAGCTCAGCAAGGGGAGAGCACCCGCCATTCTGTTCACCGTGTACCCAGTGCCTTTAACAAAGCTGCACAGAGCAGGCACCAAATAGACAGTTATTAACGAGTGGGTCCCCACGCCAGTCTGCCCTGCAGAAAGATGGCGGAGCAGATGGAAGGTGGGCACTCAGGAGAACGCTGACAGCGCGGGCCCCACACCACAAAACGGTGGCAGAGGTCCACGTGCTGGAGCTGTTCAGACTCTATTTCACCACAACTTTTCACCATTTCTCAACATAGGTGCAGAAAATGAAAAGCTCACAATACAACAGCTGCTGCAGAGACACACCAATCAACTGCTACTTCATACCAACAACTCAAAGGTCTCAGAGGTTCATATTTATATCTCCTCACTAGGAAAATAAAAAAGATTGGGAATAGGGAAAGAAATAACCAAATAAATGCACATTTTCTCCAGAATTCATAACATACATATGTTTAGAGGGTTTGCTTTGCTGTTATTATGTTGAGTAGACTAAAAATTATTTTCCATTTCTATAGCGCATGCAATTGCTGCATAAGCTTAGGTACGAAGAAGGTTTAGACAATACAGACTTAATACCATGAGACTATACACTGATTTAATAGAATTAGACTATACAGATTTAATAGCATTAGACTATACAGACAATAGCATTAGACTACACAGATTCAATACCATTAGGCTATACAGATTTAATACCACATACTGAACATATTAAGCTGCAAATTTTAGGATCCAGAAACACCTGTCTTTAACAGGTATAGCATGTAGATGTGCTCCCCTAATTCCACGCCATGTGATAGGTACACAACAATCCTGGGCAAGACTGTATTAAGAGGAAAAATAAATTAGAAACCCTATGTCTAAAGTACTTACACCCTACTCTGAATACAAACAGAATGGCACTCAATGCATATAAAATTTTCAAATATCATCATATACCTTTTAAAATATCATTTTTGAAGACTGGCAATAACATGGGGAAACAGTGACATTACTAAGTTATGGAACAAGAGCAAGGGATGTTTCCGTATACACAGTATTAAAACAAAAACATATAAAAATACTGAGATTACAAGGAAACTGTGTGGCAGATGAACGAAGTTTATTTCCTTTTCCTATTCTAGGTAGTTTACCTATATTCTACATTGCTGAGTTTTAGAGACAGTCAAAAAATCAGTTAGCTACAAAAATGTTTTGCAGTTACTCACCACATTGTAATAGCTTTTGTTTATGGCAGTTGTATCAAATCCTTTGGGAGGACTCTTCAATGTTCCTGATTTGGGAGACACAGGCTTCTCTGAAATAAAAATGCAACATAGTTTTACTGATCAATACTAAAGATGACAAAAGTCTCCAGCCCCTCACGCTGCCCAAGGATACTCATCCGGCAGCCTCACTGAATTAACAAGCCACAAGGAACGCCGAGGAAAAGGCCCTCCACGGTGACCCTCAGCACCCCAGAAACCCAGTCCCTCAGGCTCGGCTCACCAAGGCCAATCTCCGCACCCCATCCCACTCTGCTCTCCCAGTTTCAAGCTGAAGACGTCTGCGAGACTGTGCTCCCCGAGCATCAGCCCAAACCAAAGCAGTTCAGCTATAAGGACAGTTTAACAGTGTGGTAAATACAAAGCATCACCCAAATAAGAGCCATTTTGGCAGAAATGTAACAATATTAAAACATAGGGCTAAATGTTAGGGATTCAGATCCCTCAGAATGGAAAAGTCTCTTTAAACAAGTAGGATCTGCCTCAGGGCTTGAAATAACCATCATTCACAGGAGACGAGCAGAAAGAAAAGTCACCTCAAACAGGGGCAAAACCAAGAAAAACCCGCACCACCTTCACTTCCATACCAGCCAAAACTGTTAAAGCAGTCCTGATTCCAGCAAGGATTCAATGTTTTAAAACAGCACCGCTTTTGCTCCACATCCATTCAACACATATTTACTCAGCATAACAGATGCTGACGAAACATCTGCCAAACAAAAACATGACATCGTGCAAGCCAGTCATCGGCTCTACGGGAGGGGGCGGTCTCTATCACTGGTCCTGTGAACGGTGTGGGCATGTCTACTACTGGTTCTTCGGGGTGAGTCTGTCTTTCAATAGTTCTGTGGGTGTGGGTGTGGGTGTGTGTGTGTGTGTCTATTCTCAGTTCTAAGGACAGTGTCTGTGTCTTTACCATTTGTTCTACAGACAGTGCACTGTGTCTATATCACTGGTTCTAAGGGGTGGGTGAGTCCCTCTGACACTCAATGGTTTTATTGGTGTGTATCTCTACTAATGGCTGGATGGACAGAGTGTGCGTCTATCACGATTCTATGGGGTGGGTCTCTCAATGGCTGGGGGTGTGTGTGTGTGTCTATCGCAGTTCCAGCGGGTATATCTCTCAGCAATTCTATGGGGTGGGCAGACAGGTCTAACATTGATTCTACGTGTTCTGTACATCTAACACTGGTTCTATGGATTCTGTCTACCACTGCTTTCCAGGGCTACAGGGGCAGTGTATCAAATTGCAGCTAGTGGGGACAAACGAAAGGGAGAGGTTTTTTTTCCCCACATTCTTCCCTAAGAAACTCTAATGAGCATTTTCTAGGGAACTTAATTCCTCCCAGTTCTCCCTCAAGCTCGCCTCCACTGCAAGAATCCAGCCGCGTGAACCCCCTCACTGGGCAGAAACGCACCCCTTCCCTCTGGTGTGTGAGCAGCACCTGTCCACAGTCCATCCTTCTGCTCTCCTCTCCTGCCACACAACCCCCGTCCGCAATCTCAGTGCCCTGGGGTTGGAGGTGGTATATCCCGAGCAGTGCCTGCAACCCCAAACACTCCCAGTTTCAGGTCCCTAATGCCTACTGCCTCCCCAGGACCTGCAACATCTTCTCGCAACAGAAACCCGGAATGCCCCAAACCAACCTCATGCTCTTGAACCTTGCATCCTCATTCTGTGGAGCTGTTCACCTAAATCTTCCTTCAAGGCTTCACTGTCAAGTTTTTCACGGTGGCTGAAAACGAGGTGCCACTGCCAAAATTCTCTCTGCCCACAGGATGGAAAACGCAACTCCATGGGAAACAAATCACCTCTACACTGTAAGAGCTACAAGGAGGAAAACCTATCTATTCTTGCTAGCACACTTTCCTATTCCATCTCTTATCTGCAGCTAAGAATAGAAGAAAAACCATGAAATGTTTTCATTTGAGGAAAAATAACACTTTTTCATCTTTAATGTCTGCAATTTGGAGGCAGAATAGAAACTAGTAGCACAGGGGAGACTGCCCACACCTAAGTTACAACCACACGTCGGCATGCGTGCCAGGGAACTGAGCTTCCTAACAGTGACCCTGAAACTGCTTTGAATTATTTTAAAAGTAATTAATTTGCCAGCTATGTTATTTTCAACTTAAGACATACCTCACAGCTCAACACCACAGTTAATAAAATTCCATTAATTTACTATGAGAACTATCAGGAAACCAAAAAAAGAGTTTTCAAAAGAAAAAGTTTCAAGTTACTAACATTACATAAAAATAAGAAACAGGGGAAGAAACCCAGACAAATCAGGTTAAGTCCAGGCAGGTTGCCTTTTCTCCCTTAGGAAAAAAGAGCTCCCAATTCTGCGGGTGCCGAATGGGAGGTCTCAAGATCAAGTTCCCCAAAATACCCTGTGGTTAGTTTCCAACAAGAGGGCACTGCTGAGGTGTGCCACCCACAACATGCCCTTGCTTCCAATTAGGAAGCATAACTTCCACAAACACCCAAGGCGGGCCTGCTGTCAGGAGATCCTGCCGGGGGACGGGAAGCCCCTGGCTGCCAGACCCTAGCCAGGCCACTCCTGGCTTCCGATGTGAGGCTCCTTGCTCGCCCCACCACTGTCCAGGCACCTGGGCAGTCAGGGCAGAGGAAACACAGCATCAACAGGAGGGGCATGGGGCAGCAGGGGCACAGGCAACTCCCAGGCAGCCTAGGAAGCCTTCTAGTAGCATCTATCCAAAAAAAAGCATTGAAATTAACCTAAGAGAGGCTAAATTATGGCCATTCATAACAGACAGAAGAGCACATGGCAGGTCAACAGATTAGAAAGCACTCAACAATCCTACCACCCCCAGAAAAGCAGCATGTTTGGCGCATCTGGTAGCTAAAACAAAACTTGCTGGTATTGAGGTGTGCGGAACCAAGAGAATGCAGTTCTGTGCCACCTTTCCAGGGGCTGGCTGCGGCAGCAAGTCTTCCCTTTCTTACTGCAAACTAGAAAAATGCTGAAAACAAGAGAATTTAAATATAGATGAGCAAAAGAAAAGGAAAAAACGAAGTGCCAAAAAGCAAAGACGAAACCCTCTCACTGGGTGAGGGGAGGCAGTCCGGCTTCCAGGCCCCAGCGGCTGGGGCCACACCTAACGCAGGAGAAGAGAGACCTGCTCCAACCTAAGCAAATAAAACTGCATCCCTCAGTGACCTGCACTGCTGATGCAAAGTGGTCTGGAAGCTTCTGTGCACTGGTCTAGAGAAACAGCAAGGAAGCGTGCGGGCTGCTCACAGGTACAGATGGGGACACAGCCTAGCAGAAACGGAAATCCAGAGGCACCTGCCTGGCAGCACTGCTCCAACCTACACTCTCCTCTTGCAGGACTACCAGGACCTGCCTGGGACAAAAAAGTCTCTGGGAGTCCCTGAAAAGGCAAATGTTATTGCTCTCTGCAGAAATATTTCTACAACCCAGGGCACACAGGAAGCCACCATCAGGAATGAACCCACCATTAAGCAATATCAGCCACAGAAGGGATTGAGCTGCCAGGAGTGTGTGAGCAGATGTGGCATATAAGGGCCAGCTTCCCCAAAGTAGAAATAAGAGGAAAGTCAAGACCTAATGTAATCTATTGTTCAAAATGACATGAAAGGCTGGGTGCAGTGGCTCACACCTGTAATCCCAGCACTTTGGGAGGCCGAGGAGGGCAGATCACAAGGTCAGGAGATTTAGACCATCCTGGCTAACATGGCGAAACCCTGTCTCTACTAAAAATACAAATTTTAGCTCGGTGTCATGGTGCGTGCCTGTAGTCCCAGTACTTAGAACTCTGAGGCAGGAGAATCACTTAAACCCAGAAGGCGAAGGTTACAGTGAGTCAACATCCCATCACTGCCCTTCAGCCTGACAACAGAGGGAGACTCCATTTCAAAAAAACATAAAAATTATAAAAAAATAAAATGACAGGAAAAATATGCAATGAGGAACAACCACAATGAATAGAAAAGGCATCATGGAGATTAAAAACATCTGCAACAGCAGCAAAACTTCTAGAAATAAACAATATGGTCACCAAAGGGAAATCTCCACAAACAGGTTAGTATCACCGTGAGGGGAATTGATGAAAGGACAGGCAGAGGAATGGATTACAATTAACGTAACACAGTGAAACAAACACGCAAAGTAGACTAAACGCAACAGAGGGCAAAATAAGACATTTAGTAAGATATTCAGGAGAAAACACAGGGAATGAGCAGGAAACAGTCCTTGAGAAGGTACCTTCCGGAGCTGAAGAGCTCTGGAGTCCTTGGGCTGAGGAAGTACAGCCAGCCCTGAGCAAACCACAGTCCACCGAGACATGGGAATACTGCACAGCCCGGCCAGGGCCAGGTCCGGAAGGCCAGGTCTGGAGAGCCAGGTGCGATGCCCTCCGCCACCCGGAGGCAGCTCCACCATCACAGGGCTGGGTATTTCCGCCTCTTGTGAGAAGAATACACTTCTGTGAGTCCTTATATTTGCCTCTTCTACTTGACTGAAAGTTACCCAGCCACTTCTCTGTTTTAGTGGTTATGCTTTCATTTGTGATGTACCGCTGACCCAACAAAGTCTAGAGTTAATCATCAGCACTGCCTTCAACCAGAGCAGATGTGGCCCTGAAAGCAACTGGGAATTCCCACTTCCTCCTCTGACCTCCTGTACTGGAGCGCTGAGCATGGTTTCCTGGAGTGTTCCTCACACACTCAGAGTTCACACACTCAATGCCGGTGTGTGCCTGCCTGTGCCCACCAGAGTCTGCCTGCCACTTTCCTGAACCACATGCGTCTTCCTGTCATGTGACGTCCTCCTAGTGTTCAAGGGATGATTTACTAATACTCTCAATCTTTGTCTGAATATATTCTAATTGTGCCATCACTATTTTTTCCCCAAACTTTAAGATAGAAACATATAAATATACATAAACATACAGATAATGACCATGTACACTCTTAACAGCGTTAGCTGGCCTCAGCACTGAGCTGGTCTCATCCACTCCCGCCTTGTTCTCTGCTAGAAGCCCG